GTTCCAGAGTTCGTGTCAAGCAAGAATAACTTCAAAGATAGAAAAGACATATAGCATAATATTATACTGTGATTATTACTACACACAATCAAACCTTTCTGGAAACTAAATAATCTGTTAATTTTGAGAATTAATTTTCCTATTACCACTTTTCTAGGTTTATGATAATCCTGGAGTCACGGCGCATTCTGACAGTGGTAGGGACCAAATCAGCCCCAAACCACCCCCCCAAACACACAGGGTACTCTGTGGTAGAGAGATCTCCTTACTGTCCTATAGAAACCCATAGAAAGACGCGGAGAGTCAGGCTCAGAATGAAGCCCCCAGATGTCCACAACGCTCCTCCCACCACGTTACCCCCATATTTTCTAGTAAAATCTTTGAACTTCCTACAACCAAACATGAAGTTCAATGAAAATTTAGAGTCCAAACTCACCACCACCCATATACCACCGGTCCATGTACCTAACACAAAGGAAAGTGAAGTGCCTTTTGATGTGTGTTTCTGCATTAAAGTGAAACATTATAGCCATGACACACACGGCCTTTGAAGTATTATGGCGAAACTTCTTAGGTATATAACAACTGCATTATGGGAATTCTTGCTGATGCATGTAAACACAGTTCAAGGTGCGATTAAAACCCAGTAAGAGGTTCCCCTGCAAGCAGAATGGTATCTCTGGCAGTACCTCTGGGGCCCGCTAAGCTCGTAAGCCATGTCCGCTTTGATCACCATGGGAGCACATCATGTAGAAACAAACCCCCAGAATGACTCGATCATTCGTGTTGATTCATGTCAGCCAGATCACGCTCAGATTAGGGGTTCTGCTAAAAGGGTTACGAGTAGCCTACACTGCTGGCAACATCTGTTACTTCTGCAACTCCCATGCTCTTATAGCGGTCTGCCGTTTTAGAGTAACATCAGCTAACAGCACATGACCCAGACTTCCGTACCACCTCTTCACACTGGATCTACCACAGAGCTGCCTTCGGGTAACATTCCTCTACATGGTAACACCAGTGTTGGTTTAGACTGTCTGTTTGAGTAAGAGATACTGCCGTTTGGAGCACAAGCATCTCCGACATTATTGCTCATGAACGATTTTAAAGATTGGCACCTTGAACAGGGGACTTTGAGCAACGTGCTACTTTCAGCTTTTGCCGCTGGCTAGCAATTTAAAAAGCAAATTTCTGAATATCTGTATCAGTTTTATAGGTAATATGATTATTATTTCTTTTTTGAGTGTGAGACATGGTTATGTTTTACTTATGTCCAAGTCTTTTTGGAATTGTGTCTAAAATTGTGATATATACTACTATACACAAGCCCAGTTAGAAACAACTTAACATTCATTATAATTACAGCTTTGAAAACTTATCATTTAACCTCTGCCAGTTATGGAATTTAATTTAAACAGAAGCAGATTTCACAAAGAGATCCCTAAACGCAAACCAGACCGCCGGTCACCTGTCCATTGCTGTGAGAAAATGTAGCTCCTAATGACATTCGGAGCGGGCAGCGGGAAGGGTCACGAGGACTAATGACCTGACAAACTAACACTTCAGCTCCTTCCAATTAGGAGGCTGGGCCACATCAAAAGATGGAGTCCTTATCTCAGCGTGTAGGCTTGTGAAAGGAGTGAGACACAAGCGGATTTTTACCAGGCTTGTCCTTAAGGAGCAGGGTCCCCGCAATGCGCTTTAATAAGTTGACGGAGGTCACTGGGCTTCGCTCTCTGACTGTGAGCCCCAGCAAACGGCAACGGGGTTTCAATCCGTGTGGCAATTGGAATCCAGTTGGAATCCAGGAACCCCTTCCTCCAATACTACAATAGGGTTACAAGCACAAATGCTGAGAAAAAAGAACTAATACACAGCTGATATTTCTTCGCAGTTGCAGAGATCCTGTGCGTGGCTGGTATTCAGACTTCGGAGATGCCTGAAATGAGGTGAACAGAAGGTACGAAAAGCTTGCTGTCACGTGCCATGCTCTAAGTTTTGTGAAAATACGGATGTATCTTCCTCCTGATTAGATGGGGGTGGGGTGAAACCCTCCTCCTACGCAGTATAATTTGACACTCTTTCTGGGGAGACGTGTCACTGCCTTAACTCTAAGGTCTAACTCCACTGTCATGCATGACCAGAAGGTAGATCGTGTATCCTGTTACACACCATGTCTCTACGTATAAAAGAAACCACTGCCTGAAAACTGACCAACCAGAGGATTAAAAACAGCGCACTGCAACACAATCGTTGGCGAGCTGTTCATTTTCTTATTAAGCCTATTATACTTGATCTATAGTCATTATTTTGCATTCTGGGACAGCTGCGTTTTTAATGACGCTACGTGAGAGGTAAGCACAATGCTTGGTGGCGTTTCTATGAATACCTCACTGCTTAAATTTCTCGCACACATCTTTACGACCTTGTCAACCGACACAGCCTGAAGGACTGTGAGGGGTTACGGCAAGATTCCTCTTGGCGGCTGCTAGTACATCGATGCACCTTCGGGGAGCGCTACACTCATGGAAAACACCCTTAGCTAGCAACCTGTTTGTAGATCATGCCGAGGGTTGCAAGAATCGAGTGGCTTTTGGAGGATAGCTTGTAGAAGTCCTTGTCTATTTTGTATGCTCTTACTTTTTTGTCTTTAAAGCAGGACACTGGGCCCGCTGAGACGTCTCGCAAATGCACACTTGGTTTCCAACCAAAACTTCCTAATTAACCCCCAGGACAGACAGCCGCGGGAGTGGGCAGCAGGCCCTGGACAGTGCAGCGGCCTGACATATGGCATGCATCTGAGAACAAACATTTGCAAAGCATAAAATTTAATCTACATATAAATGCATAAATGCCACAGTCATTGAGTTGCGTCATAGACCACCCGTAACACACTCTGCGCAGGAAGAGCCCAGCCTCAGCATACCTCATTATCATTAACTGATGCAGAGGCTAATGAGTCATAGTCTCTACAAAAGACTTTGCACTAGCAAAAGGGAATCATAATACATTTTTGCGTCGCGTTTATTATTAAATGTGGCCAGTTAAACTTACACTATCAAATGACCGTAATCAAATGTTTGTTTTTTAGGGGGGAGGAGTGTTTTTGCTTATATATTTTCTTGCCTGTGTACTGGTCAGGAATCATTTAGGCATTGTAATGCACCCTTTTGAAAAATACTAACGGCGGTGTGGCATCTTGCAGGAACTGTAGCTAGACAGTCAAGGTCCCCTGACAAAATGGCACCTTGGTCAGGTTTGCAGGAGGGTAGAAAAATACAGGACAAATTGAATATGTTGTTGTGTATTGAAGGGCTCCTGGTAAGTGTTGCCCCACCTGAATCTGCCCGGGTATCCATGCCTATTCCCCAGCCTGCTCCTAGAACCCTCTACTAAGTGATGATACTAGAGGTGTTCTGGGGCTCCACAACCTTTTCGTTTAAAAAAATAAATAAAATTACCCAGAAAAGGAGGCGATCTTGCATTAACTGCTCCTGGAAGTGCATGCCACTGCTGATAAAGGCTTGGCTTTGCTCCACATTCCCACTTACTGCCTGCAATAATGCTCATGTCCAAAGGCTAGACAACCTCGACAGAGTCACGGCAACATGCTGAATCCCAAGACGTTTATGGCTAATGTCATGTTAGCGTGTTAGCGTGGTCCTCTCACTCGCAAGCCAAGCCAAGGTTTAATCCAAGCCCCCTTTGGGATTCTCTTGAAAACCCGAGCTCCCTATCACACATGTCCGTTAAGAGTCAGCAGTTCACCTGCAGAGCGTGTCATCTGGAGCAGTACCAGGAGGACGGTCACTAATATTTGTGAAAAGCACACTCTATACCTCATGGAGCCAGATTCCATCGTGCAAACCTACAGCCTAGCAAGAAGGTGAACAGCCTCTCACCAAAACAGTTCTTCAAATTAAATGCAATAAAAAATAATTAAGCAACAAATAAATTCATTAACTGTGCAGTTCTGTGTCAGATTAAGGCTAGATTTTTATGCATATACCTATTTGTTTCAATATGTTTCCAGCCCCCCTATAATAATACAAGTGCATGGTTAGGAAACAACAGTTAACTATTTTCTATTCCCACAGCGAAGACTGCGGGCAGAGCCTGTGTTGCAGTTTGTTCGTGGCGCAATTTCCCATCGCGGCACTTAAACTAATTTCACAGATTCTGACAAGGCGACGGAAACCTGTTATATGACCTTTCAAACGTGTGATTCACGACAAGCTGCAAAAAAAAGCAACACTCTTTACACCTCAAGGCATCTGATGTGCCGGTGCTTGCTAGTGCCGTGGGAGAGGTATTAGAGCCGGCGGGGGGCGTAAATCAGGTATGTGATGACAGGGGGCTGGGAGGCCAAGTTATTCTAACAAAAGAGCGCACCTACGGGTGGGCGGATCGGTGGGCGTGGCGGGGGCGGGGCGGGGCGGCGCCGTGATGTGAAGGCGGTAGTTGAAAGTTCTCCTTGTTCGTTCATTGATTGAAGTTTGAAACCTGAGAGAAAATACATTCAATCGAGGTGCCGATCGTGTTGTTAACGACATGTGAGTCTTAAAAGCAAAGTCTAGACACGCATGCGTTATGTTCATTTATTGCTTTTAGACTGAAACCGTAGAATTAATCATCCGCTTTTCCCACAGGAAAAGCGAGTTAACAGATTTTCAAACTGGAAGTGAGATTGATTTAAAACACATTTGTCTTAGAAATCTTGGGTTAAGTTTTGAATTACTTAATGTTGACTGTGAGGCAATTTTATTTAAAGTTGCGGCGCATACTTGGTTAAATAATTGAGGGGCGCTAAGGGAATCAACGGTGTTAGAAATGAAAGCCAGGAGGAATGACGCAGAAATAAACAATAGACTATAAACAAATAAACAACAGAAATTAAAAAACGAAGTAATCCACAAACCACAAAAAGTTGCGGTCAAGCAAAAAGTAGGACGTTACCCTTTTAAAAAGCGAAATAAGTATTAACTACTCTTAGCGTTTTATTTATATGTAACTCTTTTAAAATATGGTTATTGTTATAAATTGTTCGCATTGCCGTGGCCAGATTTATTTATTTATTTATTTGGCTGTGAAAACGACTTTAAATGCCAGAATTTGATTCTGAGTGAAATGCTTTGAATATACAACGCAGCCTTTGTGCGCATACAGCGTCACCTAGGCACACAGCAAACTGATCTTCCCGTATGAGGGTAGCGGCCAGTGGTTAGGCAGCTTGAGACCAAGATACAACATGTTCACCTCAGCCATTATCCTGGTCAAGTCAGGTCCTGGGTAATTGCTGAATGTTGCGTCAGGATATTGGGTGGGGTGAGACAATGGGTGAAAGATTAAGAAGCTTGGATGTGCGCTTGTGAAAAGTAAGTGCTGTGAGCAGCATTGTCCAAATCTGTACCCCGCGAGTTCAAATTGCAGGCGGGAAGCTTCTGCGCTGTCGTATCTTATAATGGGCCACTGTATGGTTGGTGTGATGTGCATTTTCAAAGAGTAACACATCCACTTGGGTGGCAGGTACTGTGGTGGACGGATTCTAGGCTCAATTGTTGCTTCTCCATTGCCCAGCCGTGCCAGAATGTACCGTGACGCTCTGTTTTTATCGCCATTTTTTTGTGTGACAGCCCGTGACAAACGAAGATGGATTTGGCCCTGCTCCATTCTTGGTCCCATCAGGACTACACACTGCCCTCAGCTGGGTCATCTTGATTCTGTGTTGGCCCATGATTGATTAAACACTGTGTCATCATGTAGTTGATGAGTGTTGTAAATAAATGTTTTACACAATCCTGTTTGGAGGCTATGTGCTTTTTTAGGCTAATTTAAATCAGACGAAGTAGCTGTGCATTTTCGCATATTGATACGGTTAAGTTTTGTTTCTTTTGGGTGTTATTTGAATGCTGTGCCATGAGATTAGGTAGCATTACAAAATATTGTGATTTTTAATTAGTCAAGCCTTATAATTAATTTAACCTCCATAATTTTATAGACAGCCCAGATACCAATTTTATTTTTAATGGGAAAAAATAAACCCTAGCGCTGCCTTGTTCTTGCTTGTCATGATAATGGAAACCTTCTGATGGACCATCTTCCAGTATTACTGGGACCGATATCCTGGAGAGGAGCCCAGTCTGAATCAGGGATCTCTGGTCCTGGGTAACTTTTTCTAATCTGGTTTTCCACCCACCTTCACTCATATGGGCTGATTTGATATAATTAATTCCAAGTGACTTAAGCATCATTCACTACCAGAAGTTATTAGACCTTTTCACCATTATAAACAAGATCACTCATGTTACCAAAAAGCTACTGTACCGGACTGTTGCTCACTGGTTATGTCAGCCCCAGACACTATCTGTATTTTAAGTTGTACCCTATATGGACAAAAGGATTGGAACACCTATGGCCTGTACTACGAAGCGGGGTTACTGGCTTATCGGGGTAACTTGTCGGACTTAAGGTAGACTGGGCAAACTGTAAGTGAATGAATATGGAAGTCCATTTAAACTGTGGTACCTTAAATCCGACAAGTGACCCCGATAAGCCAGTACAGGCCACTGGCCATTACACCCACAGGAAGTTTTCTGACATCCCATTCTAAATCCATAGGCTGTTGTGGCACAGCATGGTACAGGCAGGAAGAGGGTGACGATCCACTTGCGGCTCCAAGATAAAAAGGGGCTTATTGAAGAAACAGAACACACCGCAAAACAAGAGGAGCGCGAGGGGTCAAAACAAACAAAACAAGGATTAACAAACTAAAGAATCAATAACTTAACTAGGAAGCAGGACTAGGGGACCAAGCTGACTGAGACACACACAGTGGTCCAAGGACAATGAATTAAGGTAAGAACTTAAATGTACAAACCAGACTGCGCTAACGAGGACGCAGGAGTGACGTATTAACCTACCTACCAATCAAACAGAACACAATACAGGCAACAGGTGAAACTAATGAACAGGGAGCAGTCACAGAACTAGGAAGGTCAGCCAACTAGGAAACACGAATCAAACATTGGAAATACAAGACTGATGCAAGTACAAAAATCCAAAACCTAACATGAGGAGGGTGGGCCATGGATGGCAGAGCAACGACAGAAAGTAAACACTAGGAAAAACTAAAACTATAAACACTGAGGACAAAAGTCAAAGAAAATAAGGGAACAGGCAAGGCTGGGCGATCCCCAGGTTTGCAGACTGAGCTGCACACAGCCCACGACGCTGTGTGGCGGTCTGGGGAACAGGGAAAACACACTATGGAAGACTAGGAACTAAGATAGAGAGGAGAAATGGCGGAATGGCCAGTAATGCCTGCTGGCTAAATGTGCAATGGTCACAGAAGGTGAGGTGGGACGGTGCAGACTCTGACATAGGCATCAGAATGCAGTTAGTAACTGAAGTACAAAAATTATTCCATCTGCTCATTTCTTGTTTGGCTACTTCTATCTTTTTTTCTGCACTTCCATGTAACTTCCATGTTAGCGCCAGTGCTTGTGGTTGACCAATCAGCAAGCTGTTGCTCGTTTGAACGAAAAGCACCTAGTCTGGAGTAGGTACCAGAACTGCCTCCAAGGAACTTGAGTCAGCCTGAGTTTCTGTGGGTTGAACACGACAAAAGGTCCTGGATCTGGACAAAGGTTCTGATTCCACAAAAAGGTTCCTGCAGTATGAAAATGCCTTTTATGGACCTTGTTTTGTGCACAGGGGCACAGTCATGCTGGAACAGAAAAGGGCCTTCCCCAAACTGTTCCCACAAATTTGGAAGCGTAGAATTGTCCAAAATGTCTCGTTGTGCTGAAGCATTCAGAGTTCCCTTCACTGGAATTATGGGGTCTAGCCCAACCCCTGAAAAACAACCCCATACCATTATCCCTCCTCCACCAAATATTACAGTTGGCACAATGCAGTCAGGCAGGTAAAGTTCTCTTTGCATCCACCAAACCCAGACTCATCTATTAGGCTGCCAGATAGGGATGTGAGGCTTGCATGTAGCTGCTCGGCCATGGAAGCCCATTCTATGAAGCTCCCGGTGCACAGTTTTTGTGCTGTGGTTAATAGAATAGAATAGAATAGCCACTTTTATTGTCATTCAGAATAGTGCACATCAGAACGAAATTTTGTTGCATTTTTTTGCTCACCATCGGCCTGGCAGAGTGTGTTAAAAAAAAAAGATCATAAATAGAAAAACAGAATATAATTGGAACTAACATACAGATATATTAACCGAAGTATAGCAGCAAAAAACCAGCGTACATCACCATGCCATTGGAAGTTTGGGACTTTGGCGCCTGTTAAGCACTATGTGCTTCAACACTCTGTTACTTTACGTGGCCTGACACATCGGGACCGAGTCTGTTGTTCCAAAACGCTTCGTCATAATACCACTTATAGTTGACTGTAGAATATCTACTAAGGATCAGATTTTGCAAACTGACTTATTGCAAAGGCGGCATCCTATGACGGTACCACTGTTGAATTCACTGAGCTCTAAAGAAACGACCCATTCATTTACAAATGTTTGTAAACCTGACTGAATGGTTCGGTGCTTGATTCTATACACCAGTGGCAATGGGTCTGAATGAAACACCTGAATTCAATGATTGAGAGGTGTGTCCCAATACTTTGGTCCATATAGTCTGCATATATCTACAGTTTATAGTTTTATAGTATTTACAGTAATTTCATGCTGTCTTTCGTGCACATTACTTTGCACTTGTGCTACTACAGTACTACCTCAACTGGCAAATAAAAAATTACAGTGACTTTTTATTGATTAGCATTCCTACTATTTTACTTATTATTATTATTATTAATTTTGTTACTGTCATTTTTCTTATGATTATTTTGCATAGTGGTCATTTTGTATGTGTTTGCTACTAGATGCCTAAATTTCCCTCAGGATCGATAAATCAAATACGATCAATCTGTCTGTCTGTCTATTTGTCTGTCTGTGTGTGTCTTTGTGGCAAAATCCCACCCTTGGTGGATTAAATGTAGACCTCCATACATGAATAGGGCAACCATGAAAGTACAGACTCAGCATACCTAAGGTACATAGAGACCATCGGTGGATTAAATGTAGACCTCTGTTCATGAACAGGGCAGCCATGAAAGTACAGACTCAGCATACTTAGGGTACATAGAGACCCTCGGTGGATTAAATGTAGACCTCTGTACATGAATAGGGCAGCCATGAAAGTACAGACTCAGCATGTTTATTTTTAGATTATTTTTGTTTGGCTGCTTCAGGACAAGGACACCATACGAGCCACAATGCAGGTGCTGCCCAGAAATGGGGCAGAATTCTGCTGACTGCGACGGTCTGCGCAGGGCTCGCCTCTCCCAAAGCCCAGCTCCGTGTGGAGGCTTTCAGCTGCGACGCAGGTAAAGTGCAGCTGCAGCAGTCGCTAATGCAAATGCACTGCGGCGCTCTGCGCTCAGGTTAATAGAGAAGCAATGTCGTTTGTTCATAACTGTCAGTGTTTTATGCATTTTTAACCACTTACCAGAGACAACATCCCTGCTACCAACTGGGCACTTGTATCTTTTTGCAAACGTTAGTTGAATTTCAATTATGTTATGAAATTAAGCATTTTTTTGGGTTTTGGCGTGAATCTTATATGAGCGGTCACAGAACAATTGAATCTTGTCGCCCCCGGATATTCCCAGTAATAAAATAACTAAAATATCACACACAATACCATCTTTAAAAAGCTCTCATTCATTCCAACCTGGCAGCAAGACAATCTCATAGACACTTAACCAAATGGACGCATAAATACTTTTGTTTTGCTTGTGTAAATAAAGTTCTCAAACAAATACTTATTTTTCCTGATTTGTCAGATAAATTCTTACGACCAACACTGCACAACCTAAAATAATTCATTTTAAATAAAAGTTACAGCATCCTTATGAAAGCAATTATATCTCTGCATAAAATCACTATATGCGCTTACGATTTTGTGCTTTGAATTATTTTGAGTTTATTTTTTAATTTCGTGTCGTTCTGCACGGCAAATTGATTTTTTCCCTCATGTTATTTGTTTGGTAAAAACGAGCATACTACTTTGTGTGCTTGAGATAACTGGCTCGCAGACATGCAGACCACTGTAATGTTTTTTCAGTGGGAGTGAGGTATTTGTGCAGCCTTCGGAGAAGCGGGTCGAGGGCGCCCCCCCGGAGGCCTCTGAAATATCGCTGCACTCGTTCCGGAGCCTGAACTTCACCTGCTCACCATTAATGCGGTTTCTGGGTTCGTCCGAGGCGGGAGATTGCTGTAAGTTACTCAGATTGGGCTCGGAGATACAGACCGGGATCTCCGGCCTAACGTGCTGTCTGCCAAATCACTTCACAGTTTGATGACCTGCCATTGACTGCTATATTCAGATTGGTCGTTAAAGGAGAAGGTTGGGCCACCTTATATATGGATATATTTATATCTATTTCCCGTTCATGCTTGGATGCCATGTGACAAACAAATGCATGACTTGCGAGGTCAGGAGAATGGTGAGGAGATATGGCGTTACCGTGCGAAATGGTTGCCCCCCCCCCCCCCCACCCCCACAGTGACAATGTTTTGCAACATCTATCTCATTTCAGCACTGGTGGCTGGAGTTTCCTCCTAATGGCTCATCCCTCTCACCCCTTTGCCAAGATCCCCCTACAGTATTCCCTGCCAATAGTTTCACCATTTCTCTCTCTCTCTCTCTTTCGCCTCGCACGCGGGCCTGATACCGGCCATGGCCGTAAAGGTTTGGTTTGCGCAAGGCCTGTCAAAGCTCCGAGGA